GGCATAGGAGGGACGTTCAGCCCCCCGGAAGAAGCCGCAATGAGCAGAAACACCCTTGACACAACCGTAGAACTGCCTCCCAAAGCTATGAGACTGACGCGATGTGAGCAACGGAGCCGGTAGACCACAATAACACAAAAAACCTGTCTGTAACCGATATCCTAGAAGTCATGTTTCTATAACTGTGAAAAAAAAGATTATTAGTACTTATCCAAATAAAAGTAAAATTGACATTCAAAATTAATGTACGAACAGAGAAAAAACTTGTTTGACTAGTTGTCATATATAGCATCTGCTATAGACTCCCTCAGAGCAGCCATCTCAACTGCACCCTCACCGTCCTGAGTTTCATATTCAATCGAGTCCATCTTATTATCAGCTAGAGATCCTGAAGGTTCTAGAGTGTCAATAATTTTATCATCATCAGCCATATTGAAGTCCGTATCTAAATGAGAAGGGTGACGTCGGCTGAAGTTGTGAAGTGTCATAGCGGTCAGCACAATATACACCTGTTTAGGAAATGAATAGGATGGCATATCACGTAGGATTACCCATTTTTTCTTCCACACCCCAAAAGTTCTTTCAATAACCTCCCGTAAAGAGGAGTGTCATTGGTTAAACATTTCTTTTCTGCCACCTTAAACATTTTTTTTGCCACAAATCGTGCCATTTGCTCGCTCAAAATCAGGAATATGATATCTAGTGTTTGGATATGGCTTCAGGTAGCCCCTTAACATCGGATTCCAGCAACAAACCTGGAGATGGGTGAGGGAAACACTGTGTTCTATTCTTAGTTGTATAAGAAAAAAGACTATTGTCATCCCCCCCCCCCCTGCCATTACAAATGTGAAGCACATGTTGAAGTCACACACTGTCATGACACTTTGGGTAGTTGTACCACTCCGACCAATATACGCGATCCTCTCGTGACTTGGTAGTCTGGCATCTACATGAGTGTCATCAATTGCTCCAATACAATTCTGTTAATCATAGTTAGCAACTCAAAAGGTCATTAAGCTAAAGTAACAAAGTAATAATACTTTGAAATACGGCATGTAGCGAGCATCATTTGCAATTTGTTCAGGAATAGTTGCGAACGATGTATCCGCTAGCTTAATGATATGTGTTGTTAAGCTCACAAGTGCTGGTAAACCTTTGGAAAAGTAACGGCTAATGGTTTCTGATGAATGTTGAAATCGCTCCATAGCTCATCTAACTGGTTCATTCTGTGAGAGCATGTATAATGTTATTGCCAACACCTCTCTCGTAGTCGTTCTAGAAGAACCTTGTAGGCCATGGTTCCGACATAACTCGTGTAGCAGATCGATAAAAATGGGCGCAGTCATTCTAAAAATATTTTTGAACCTTATCGGATGTCCAGCAAGCATCTCACCCACCCATTTGTCCCCAATATAAGAGGACATCATGCGTGGTATCTGTCTATAACTGGAGCGGTAGTATTCCAGCAATAATATCGCTATAGCTGCAGCCCATGTCATTCTTTTACGACGGTCTTGCAGTGGGTGCATCCTGAAATGAGAAATACATTAGGATGAAAGAAATTATTGAGAGGTGGTGACAGGAAATTGGAATAGTGAAAACATCAAGTATTACTTAGTATCAGAAAATAAGTGACATAACATGTTGTAAAGATAGAAAAAAAAATCAGACAATACATAGCATCATAAAATAACAAAAGTTGTTGTAATAACAATACATAAGTGACAAGTCTAATGAAAAATTAGTACAAAGCGGACCCATTCTTCAACTATAACACGTAAATACTCAATGCGCATCTCGGACCGCAGTGCAATGAACATTTCCTGACGAGTAGGGTCCTCGAGCTTTCGAACATATTTTGCCTGAAAGCGCATATCGGCTGCTACTTCTGGAATAGTATCTAAAATGGCCACGCAGTCCCAAATCGTACTGTCATGAGGAGTCGGATCCGTGAAAGCTGCAATTAGTTCAGCAAATGAGCCTTTAACAAAACTGTCATTCTCTTTCTTCCTCCTCGCAAGTCTAGGCCTTTTGGACATGGAATTAGACTCCTCCATCTCTTTTTGGTTAATACTAGGAATTTTTTCATCAGCTATAACCTGTTCAGGTGGCAAGTCATTTGACATTCCTGTAAATCCCATCTCGCTTGGGTTTGTTGCGTGCTTCCCAGTCGCGAAAACCCCCTTAAACATGATGTCAATTTTTGCCTCGAACTCTGGCTCAATTCTGCACTGCCTATATTTCTTC